CATTCATCTGAACCAGTCAAGGTCAGTACTCTTGTAATTAATTATTCTAAGAAAGGTTAAATGGACATTTTCTATCCAACACTAAACTGAAAATCAACTTCACAGTATCCACTCTTGCCTTTCTATTCCTACCTTGGTAAATCTGACCCCAGCTACAATAGGAAAATTTGTGTGAAAGGAATGCTAAGTCCATAAGTGCTGTGGAAACTGATGGGAGGGGTATGCAGCTCAGAGCAGGGAAGGTGAGAGAAGGCATCAGCCCGAGAGTGACATGCGTTGGAGGAAGAGGAGGGATTCTCCTCCTCCAAACAGTTGAGGTACATTCAGAAAATTCCACAAGTCCTGTAGGGCCTATGAGTGAAGTGGTAGGCGGAGTAGAGGATGCATAAAGCAGAACAGACTTCATTATGAGGGAGGAGTTGGGTCATGGAGAATCTTGTATTTTTAACACATGTCAAGACATTAGAGGACTTTAAGAATGTTATTTTGATTCAGAAATAATCCTCAGGCAGTGGTGGGATGGGGGTGACACCAGAGATAAGGAAACCATTTAGACTATATAGGTGAGACAAGGGGAATACACTAACGTAATGGCTAGTGTGGGTGGCTGGGGGTCTGTGTGTAAGGCTTTTGAGGGCTCTTAACGAGGAGGAATTAAGTGGCGAGAACTGTCATGACTTGAGGGTGGACTGGTGCTGTGGAGGCAAAGGGGAAGGGATGGCTGGCTTCTGGTGGGACAGAAGCCTTTTCCTATTATACTGCAACTTTTCATGTGGGGCCACTTCCCAGAAACCAGAAGATGATCAAAATGCTACTTCCTTCAGTGTATTGCTCACGAACTCACCTGTATAGAAATGAATTTTCTAAAATATATATTGCAGATTCTTTCATGAACATAAAATCTGTGGCTATTACTAGGATCTGAATGTTTGTGTCCCTCTAAAATTCATGCGCTGAAATCTAACTCCCCATATGTTGATATTAAGAGGTCCAGCTGTGGATGGTGACTAGGTCATGAAGGTGGAGCCCTCACCATTGGGATTAGTGCCCTTATAAAAGAGGCCTTGGAGGGGGACGAGTGTGCCCTTCCACCACGTGAGGACACAGCAAGAAGGTGCCATCTATGAGGAAAGAGCCCTTGCCATACAACAAATCCGCGGGTGCCTTGATCTTGGACTTCCCAGCCTTCAGAACTGTGAGCATTAAATTTCTATTATTTATAAATTACCCAGTCTATGGTATTTTGTTATGGTAGCCTGAACTGACTAAGACAGCTATATATGACAAGTGTCAGATATTTTTCCCAACTGCCTCTTTTGTATATATAGTAAGCCTCTGGTAATGTACATTTGTAGTCAACATAACACAAATTCATTTGCTAATCATTGATCAAGTAACTACTATGTAGTATACTGTAGATGTTATTTTGCTAAAGTATTAGAGGAAAAAAAATTCGAAAACATTTAAAAAAACAAATCAGCCTCTAATAGCAACCCTAATTTTCTTTGGTAGGTTTATCTGACTTACTAAGCTATAGGATAACTTTATCTTAACATATTTGGCTAAATCCTTGATGTGAAGAAAAAATGTGGTTTGTTCTCTAGTATTGAGTTAATGTATTCCCCTTATAATCAGAAAAAGACTGCATATATTCACTGGCTTTGCTGTGGAACACTATTTTATAACAACAGTTCTCATCTACAGGAATGAGGAGGAGAAGGCCACACACATTTTGGTTTCTGCCTCATGGAAACATTCTTCAAACCAGAAATGACGTGTGAAAGGAGACTAAAGAACCAGAAGAAATGTGCTTCCATCCACGCTGGTTAAATCTTCCTCGAAATAGAGATAAGAAACAAAATAAAAAATCCATTCTTTTTAGAAAATGAGTTTTTAACCCAGGGGTTTGCTTATGTTGGAAAGGAATCAGATGCTGGGCCCATATACCACGCGTTCAGAATACCACACATAGCAACTAACTGTTGCTATGACTTTTCAGCAGCAAGAACATTTAACGGGAAGTAACCTAGGGAAGGGATGAGCTAACCAAGGCATCAATAATTCATTTATCAGAAATAGGAGTAGTGATATTAAATGCCAGCAGACTGTTTCATTTGTAGGGAGGCATTTTCTGTTTCAAGCCTAGGACAATGCAGTCAGCTTCATTTGGCAAGCTAATATGAATGGAGGCAAAGCTGAATCAAAGGACAGGCTTTTATGGTCGCCTCTTACAATGCTATTACTTTTGCATCAGTTATTTATGTCTCACATACCACCATTTGGGAACTGGAAAAAGTGACAAGAAAGCGGTTTTTATAACTTTTGTACTTCAGAGGTGATTTCCTTCATTCCAAAGCTCTGGCACTAGAAATGGAATCATGTGAGTCTAAGAGAGATGATTTGCATGAAGTTTTGAGGGTACATTCTCTATGAGTACTAAAAGCCCTCCAAGAACTAGTTTCTTACTAAGTCATTTCCCAATTCAGCCCATTAGTAATCTATATTATTTCATCACTGTGTCCCCCAAGCATTTAGCACAGAGCTGTTTGCAAAGCCAGAGTCTCAGTGGATACTTTGGTGAATGAATGAATAAACACAGCCAAGTAAGAAATAATTCCAAACCTGCTCTGAAGCCTACTGGTCAGATGGCACAATGAGGAGGCATTTGTGTAACATATGCCTCAATTTCCTTATTCTGACAATGATTAGAAATTTTTCTCCTTCACTATCTTATATCAAATTTAAAGACTCATGCTCCACCAAGGGAGATGGGGAAATGAAATTCAAGAAAAGTAGACACACTGTGTACTGAATGAGTCACAGTTCCCAGCTGCCAAAGAAGCAAAAAGCCTGTCTCAACCCCTAATCCTGGAAATAGACTTCCAAGTTTTAATTTAGATTTGAAATGTTCATATGCATATATATATTGAGATAATTCATTTTTAACTGATTATTTATCAAGAATTAGACATATGAATAGAACATATAATTATAATAATAACAGCTATAATTATCTAGTACCTATAATGTAGTCAGCTTGATGTTTTACACATTTTGTTGCTAATCCTTAGAGGTAAGTATTATGCCCATTTTAGAGATTTAAAAAAAAAAATACTACGGCTCATTCCATAAAGCTAATCAAGAACAGCCAAGACTAAAAGTCAACTCTTTTAAACTATAAATCCATTCGTTTTCTAATGCTAGGTGACCTCTATCCAAACAGAATTATCTATTTATGGATCCATGCTTAAAGACATATCCAACCATCCTATCTAGCACTAGGGTCTAGTAAGCAGAGAGGATATTTTAATCCTAAATGTTTGAATACATGCTGTTGGTCAGCCAAGATAAAAAAAAAAAAAAAAAAATCAGGCAGAACTACTGAGAGGCACTACAGGTACATCTATAACGCAAGGCATTTCTGCCTTCCACAAAACAGAGGTAGGAGTGCTGGGGTTGTACCTAGGAAAATGCCAATGTTCACTGTCAAGACTACAAACCTAAGTGCACATCTGGAAAAGAATAATGTCTGCATCCTCCAACAATTAAACCCCCACTGCACTCAGTGGACCATGGCACTGCTTAGAATGGGTCAAAACAGGACACACTAGAATACCCCAGAGAGAGCATGACCACAGTGATTCTTCTTGAACAAAGGTCTTGGGAAACCACCGAGTTTAAAAGGAATCCTCACAAAGAATTCAGTTTTAAAAGAGTAGTCTATAAAAAGCATCAAAGCCAATACTCAAATAATTGTCCACACAGACATTATAATCTAGACAACAACAGCCAGGTCTCAAAGAAAACTATCCAGTTTAACTTAGGTCATTTTCTCTTTTTGTTTGGAAGTTGTGGGAAATTCTATCTATAGCAATTTGTTTATTAATGATTTCACCACTGAATCTGATCGATTTACTTGGCTGCTAATATTAACAAGCAGCATATTTCTAAAGCTACTTTGTTAAGCCTTCTTTGTAGATGGTAAAAAGAAAACACACATGTACAGCCACAATTTTCTAGGTCATATGGTTTTATCTAAACTTATTGACTTATTAATCAAATAATACTAGCTGAGAAATTTTTCCCTAAAGAGAATAGCAGCCTGGAAATAGGACATAATGAGTGGGCTAAACAGTTCTCCTTTGCAACTTCTGTGATCTTAACCTAAAACATGTAAATAAAATTTCAAATGAAAATAACTAAATCACAGCATTGTCCCAGGGAGCTTCATAGTACAGAGGAAAAAAGTTAAGTAATGTGATGCAGAGATTGGAAATATCTACTAATCTTTTAAGGAATCTGGGTCATTGTAAGCAAGAAAAATCATATCCCCATTCCCACTTACTTGCTGAGAAAGGTTAAAATATTCTATGTTATCAATGGATGTGCGTTTTCATTTGTGTTCACTAAAACCACAGTACCATACTAACTGGAAAGTGTGATTGTGGTTAAATGGGTTTCTGTGCCTCCTGGTTTGGGGCAGGGAGCTGGTGGGGGGATAAGAAAGGTAACGTGTTCTGCAAGAGCAATAATTCTTCTAGGTATTTCAGGTATATTAGTGGGAAACAAAATCACTACAGAGTAGAGAAGAGCAAAGAAGAAGTAAAATAAGAAAGCCCCTGGCAGTATTCAATCAGATTTGTTGAATTTAACAGAATCACTCTTTTAGGAGGTGCTTTGTTTTGTCTCCCCCTATAGCACCCCTATCCCTAAACGAATGGGCCACAGACCAATTATCACACGAAGGGCCATAGCTTCCACTTCCATCCTCAAGACCTGAAAATCTGAAGCCTTTCCCCAGGCTTTCCCTGCAACTATTCTCACTATGTGGACCATCCTTTTTCTTACTCAGAAGCTTCAGTAGAAAACACTTGTTTATCTTGGAGCAAATTCGGGATCATTTGTTACCAAGGATTTTGAAGAAAATACTTCCCTCAGCACGAGCAGAAAACAAAGCTCCTTGCCAGCCACACGCCAGCCACCCCTCACTTGGGCCTTACTTGTTCTCGTTGCTTGCATCGTAACGAGGCATTGGGTCCAAGTCATTCCCATTCACATCGCAACTCGCTAGAGCATCCTATGGCCACAGAGGAGAGAACCAGAGAGAGGAAACGGGCATTCATTAATTAGCCATTGACCCACAGGCTCATGCATTTTTAAACACATTTCTGCAAGAAAGTAATTAGGTTAACTAATACGCTCATGGTTCGGTGGTGTCAGGATGCCTTAGGGAGAGACCGCTTGTTGGGTAATAATTAGTGCTGTATTTTCCCCCTTAAGGTGAAGAAGTACTCTACGCAGTGCCCTGTCCATGCTTGCCAGCACTTTTTCCACTCATACTTAGAATGACCCAGTTCATGAAATGATTTCTTGAATTTGCAACTTCCTTATCACAATATAAATATTTTAGAAGACAAAAATCATTCACATATCACTGGCAAGACAATTAAAAATCAATATTAGATATTGATTTTGTGAGGCATCTCAGGACCTATATTAGACAATACTTGCCTGGTTTCAGATACTGTATCTACTATAAAAGAGTCTAGAATTCAGATGTTTTACTAATATCCAATGCTTCGGGGACCAGCCAAAATGATGAACAAGGTTTTCTGATGCTAAGGTTTCAAAATGAGGAAACTATCTCCCAAACCAAAGTTGGATTTGTTTGTTTGCTTTTTAAAACGATTGTGAAAAATCTCTAAATTACTAAAGAAAAATGTACTGGGTTATTGCCATCATTCAAATTTAGACCATTGTAGGTAGCCTAATTTAGGGTGCTTTGAATTTTCTTAGGCTTTATGATTATTCCTAATTTCAATGTCATTGAAAATAAACATTATCTTGGTTTTCTGTATTTATCAAAGGCTCTTGTTTCTGAAAATAATTTTTTGTACATAGACCCTGAAATGTTTGGAAGAATTGAGCAAAATACACATGCACATAAAGGTGGGAAGTTCCTGCTCACTGCACAATGGGGGCTCCACAGCCATTCTTAGGGGCCATGAGGGCACAAAAGCTTCGGATAGTACCCCAATGTAACTTACTGATTTTCTTTATAAGGAAACTCAGACCCCAAACAGGTTAATTTCTAACCTGCTTTGGCATAAAAGAAACCAAGGCTGGGACCCAGGTCTTCTAATACCTCAGCCAATGCGCCTGTTCCTCTCCCCACTGGCTCCAACGCAAGGAGAACCGAGAGGGCACCAGTATTGCTAATTGCACAGGTAATTCTGCAGAAATTTTTTCCAGGGGGAGAAAATGATAAAGGAAAAGAATGCAATCACAATTACACAAAAGCTATTCGTATTTAATCAAATACATTCGTATGCAGTGGCAAGCAGTTAGCACGCACTAAAAACACCTCTCTGCAGGTGACAAGAAAGACATCTCTACTGCGGGATAAGCAGCCATAGTTTCTCTTTTTATATCTGACCCTGCATAACTCACTTCAGTCTTCAGGCTTCAGTTTCTTCTCCTGCCAAAGAAGAAGACTAAACTGGAGTTCCTTTTTAGCTTTAAAACTCTACGCCGTGAAGAGACAAGTTTATCTGAGTGCACTTTGACACAGCCACTCGACTGTTTCGCTCACATAAAAACAAAATGAATTTGTGGTTCCTTCTTAAGAAAGGGAGTTGACTGGTACCTACAGACGACTGTGAAGCTGATCATTACTGTCCTTTAAAAAAAAAAAAAAACAGGCCAAAAGAGAAAGAGATGAGCAGAATAACTTGAGAAAAGTTCTAAGTGTGTTTCTCTCCCTAAAAGAAATAAAGAGTGTTGCCTGGCTGGTTGGACGGATTGTTGAGAAAAGCAGATATTGCTGGTAGCAGATGGTGTTGACGGTAGGGTTTCTGCTACCTTACTGCTTTCTTTTGGTAGGTCAGAACATCAAAGGCACTCAAGAGTTGAAAGTGTTATCTCATGCTTCCTGTGTTCTAAGAGCTCATCTTTTATAAGAAAGGAGAAAAACACAGAGCCTATCGTATGTTGCTGCATTTTTCAGTAGCTATCCACCTTATCCATAATCCTAACATGAGTTCCTCTGCTTCCCAGGAGGAAAGACATTCCGACCACAGCAAACACTCACGTAGTTTTGCATCAGATCCGGATGGGTTCTCTCAATGCCATCGTCCAGGATGGTGACCACAATGTTCTTTCCCGTGTAGCCTCTCTTCCAGGCTCCTTCAATATTCATGTCTGATTGGCAGGGATGTGTATTGTCACTGCAGTGCTGAAGAAGGAAGAACACATTGCAAGATTACTAAATAGTGAGGAGATGGGAGAATTACCTACTTCTTAAAATAATGCCTTAAATCGATAGCAAGTTTGTGGATTGCCCAGTAAAGTAGAAGCACGGATTTCCACCATGATAATAGGAAGGAAAGATGTAAAAAAGCAAGTGAAACAGAAATCTCTGCCACCAGTTCTGATACATATAAATCCCTCAGAAAGGCATAAAATAAAGTGTACTACAAACAAGAAATAATAACAGGTTCTCCAAACTCTTTCACTAAATTAACAAGGGCTATTGTACCATAACTTATAGGCAGTAGACAGACTCACTCTGCACTACTTTGAGAAGGGAAAGAATAATAGTGCGAAATCCAGAAAGGTACCCCACAAAGGAAAATGTGTGTGGGGGCTTCAAAGGGCTGGCTGTAAAACATAGAATTCTAGCTCATTATGTGTAGTAATTTCATTCTGCAATGGCTACAACATACAAACATACTGAAAAATGAATTAAGCCAGCAGCTTTTCCTGATATAATTTACTAGCATTTGTCCAACCCACACAACTGTTCCTTTAAAGTCCATCTCTTTGAAATATCTCTGAGTGACGTTGTTTTCTAGGTTCTTACGGCTTCTTAGAGCAGTGGTCCCCAGCCTTTTTGGCACCAGGGACCAGTTTCATGCAAGAAAGTTTTCCATGGCTGGGAGGCACAGAGGGATAGTTTCAGAATGATCCAAGTGCATTACATTTATTGTGTGGTCAAACCTCTCTAACCTCTCTGTTAATGATAATCTGTATTTGCAGCCACTCCTCAGTGCTAGCATCACCACCTCAGCTCCACCTCAGATCATCGGGCATTAAATTCTCATAAGAAGCACACACCCTAGATCCCCGGCATGCACAGCCTATGGTAGGGTTCATGCTCCTATGAGAATCTAATGCCGCTGCTGATCTGACAGGAGGCGGAGCTTATGCAGTGATGCTAGCGATGGGGAGTGGTTATAAATGCATATGAAGCTTTTGTCCCATCACTCCTCACCTCCTGCTGTATAGCCCAGTTTCTAACAGGCCACAGACTGGTACTGGTCCGCCACCTGGGTTTTGGGGACAGAAGCATTAGAGGAACAAAGCAAAAGAGACGTGCTGCTACATAATACCACAGAAACACAAGCCACCCAGGTCTTTCCCTATTCACTACTTTCTTCCTGCTTTGTAATATAGTTCAGCATTTGGGGAGTAGATGAGAATGTCAAGCTTTATGGGCTCTAAGCATAAATGGAGATCCCGCTCCATTGATTCATTTAACACACATTTTACTGAGTGCCTACTACATGCTGAAGTATGGCAGTAAACAAGGAAGATGAGGTCCTTGTCTTAATGGGGAGACAGAAAATAAAGAAACAAATAAGGCCCTTCAGAATGCTCCTTGTGTTTTAAAGAAGTTGAGGAGAGTGCTATGGCCCATGCTGTGGGATCTGAGAACACTACTGTAGGTGGACTGGTCAGAAGAAGGACTCTAGTCTCTGAAAAAGTGAAGTGAGAGCTGAGACATGACTGAGGAGAAAGAGCTGGTCTGCCCACAAGCCTAGGAACAACTGCCCTGGGAGGCAACAAAGCAAATGCAAAGACTGTAAGGTGGAGAAGAGCTTACTGTGTCAGAGAAAGAGAAAGAAGATGGGTATTGCTAAAGCTTAGTGAACGAGGGAGAGAATGGCGCAAGAGCCATCAAATTAGAAGAGAAGGCAAGGTCAGATCATTGAGGCTTTGTGGGCCACGACCCGGGTAATATTCTAGGTCTGTCCTACATAGAAGCTCCTTTTTTTCCAAACCCGATATCTCAAAATTAGATGTGAACTAGCGACAGATACCTCCAACGCCCCCTGATATGAATTTCTTAACTACTTTATACCTCCCATGAGATTGCCTTTTGTTAAATGTTATAAATACATTTGAATAGTTTCAAGGATTCCTTCTAAGAAAGAATAAACCCATTTTTTCATAATAGACAATGTCAATTGCATAAAGAATAGGGACTTACATATTTTTATGAACATTTCCAATTTTTTCCCACCTTCCTGACTTCTTCCTGGTACTTGAGGCCCTGCACCCACTCTCTGCTGATCCAAATCCACTCTCCCTCCTCCTTCCTCCAGTTTTCAGGGCATAGCTCTGGACCTTCTCCCATCTGGCCTTTTCCAGCCTATTCACCTTTTTCCCCTTCCCTGAACTCAGAAACACACACACACATACTCACACACACGCATGGCACACACACACACACACACACACACACACACACACTCTGTCCTACACCATCCGACCCCTACTCAGCGAATTTTGCTGAGCTGTTGACTATTGAATCCTGGGTGTGAGTTTTGTCCCCTGATCATAAGGCCCTATGATACCATGCATTAAACTAATCTAACCTAGGATTTCAGAAATATTGGCCAGAAATGAAGGCATATCCTCAACTTTATTTCCATAATGCTTACTGCTCTGCCTTCTTCAGCAATACTCAGGCCAGCTAATGCTTGGTTAACGGAGATGATGATAATGCAAGAAATAGCGCCGATTTCCAAAATGCCTTCGTTTTTCACAAGTCTCCTTCTGGCCAAGAGTTTGGGCCTCTCCTCGGCAAACATTTTAATTTAACACAAAGCAACCTTGACAGGTTTTTATTTCATTTTCTTTTCAAAACCCGCTGTGGCCACCTGCGGTATCGATTGTGACATGAAGTAATGTTAATGTGGCCAAGAGGTGGGCCGGAGGAAGGAAGCGCACAGGAAATGGGTAACCACAAATGGGATCACCGTCCCGGAGTAGAGGGATGCTGCCTGAAATTGTAATTATGAAGATTGAAGAAAACCAGCTGTCTATGGAAAACATGTGTGTTACCAACGAAGCAATTAGGTTTCTTTCTTCCACCTCTGCTTCTGTTGAGTCTGACTTTGCCATTAAATATTCTTGAACCACCTTTTTTCTTTTTCCTTTGTATCTGCCACCACGGTAGGTGGTGAAGGAGAGGAAATATTCAATTGACGAGTTTTCATTTGGATAATCTGGTGTATCAAGTAGTCAAAATGTCAAAGGCAAAATCATCATCATCGTCATCATCAAAGCCTGGTGTGTTTCTTGCAAATGAATGATAAGGTCAAAGGACACTTAAATCAGAACCCTAAATACTGAATGAGAGTGCTAGGTTTTGGGGATTTTTTAAAAATACATTTCAAGTGGTCCAGACTTCCAAAAGCATTTCTAATGTGGTTGTTTCCTAAACCCAAGGTATCCAGAGCGCAAAAACTATGGAAAATACTGATGGCACTCAACACTGACCGAGGATAAAAATGAGTTCATTATTTCCTTAACTGTCTGATTGAAATAATCTTTAAACTAGGCTTTATTTAATTTCCAGGAATCTATGTTACAGCAGCATGCAAAGGCAAAGGGAACAGGTAGTAGCCATGACCCCCTCATACGTGGTCAACCATGGTGAAAAGATCTCTGCCAGAGCCGGAACTAAAGACAAGTGTCTGGAATTACATTACCGTATGTGCAGCCCACAGTCTGGTGTCCAATAAAGGGTCCTGTCAGAAATTTCCAGCATATGGGAAGCTGTTGAAAACTATACACATGCACAGTATATTCAAGATAAATAGTATAGTAAATGTATGTAGCTTTAGTTCTGCATAATGCTCTTTATTTCAATGATATTCTATGCACAGATGATTAAGTATTTAAGAACAACACTGGACACACAAACTACAAAATAGCCTGCAGAAACAATGATTACCACCACGGTCTCCACTTTCTTATCCATAAAAGCTTTTATTCTCTTTAAGAATGAAAGTTTAAAGAAATTGTTCTGTGAGTTTAAGTAATGGTCTTTTCCAAACCAGGATTATGAGCTATTTGGGTTATAAACCACTCTGGTGTGTCCACTTTTTGTCTTCCTAAACTCAGTGGTTGCTCAATAAACACCTTTGTTATGTTCTCGCTATCATTTTCTTCAGACTACAGGGCTTGGGGTGGGGGTGCCTCAGTGTCATTCTTTTTAAACTTCTCTAAGTTCTGAGGGTTTCCAATGAACTGCCATTTTACATGCTGTTGATAATCAGTTAACATTGAAACTATCGGTTGTTCGTTATTACTCATACAGTGGCTCGAAAGACTGCATCTCTGACTCTACGATGTTAAGAAAATAGAATTAAATACACAAAAATCAGTTTAGAGACAAAGAAACACATCTATTCAACCAAAGTGTACATATACTTGAAATTCTTCATAAAATTTGGAGTTTAGGAGTTGTCAGAAATTGAAATAAAAATAACTGATATTCCCTTACGTGCAAATATAACTAACATCAGATCCTTACCACGGGCAAGCATTATGCTAAACATTTTATGTGAATTAGCATCATTTAAGACTTAGAACAACCATTTTTGAGAGGTACTTTTATCATTTGCTTTTAACAGATAAAGAAAATCAGCCTCAGTAACCTTCCAGACCTCAAATAGCTGGTCAATAATAGAACCAGAACTCAAACCCAAGCACTCTGATATCAGAGCATAGGGATATGAAACTCTGGTGTTAAAAACTAAAACAGAAAGGGCTTAAAGCAGTGCCAAGCACAAGCAAATTCAGATAAGGGTAGATAAGGGGTAGATAAGAGTGGATATTGGAGAACAGTTCCAGTAAAGAAACTCAAATAACAGAAATCGCACTGGCCTTAGAACTATGGTCAGTGCATTGAAGGGATCAAGTGGAATACAGCTGTCTAAGACCTGAAAGACCTTCTAATTTTTCCTTATTTCATTGAATACTTTCAATAACAGGGAGCTCACGTCTTTATTAAATAGCCAATGATGTGCTAGTAAATTAGTTCTTTAAAAAAAAAATAGCCCTTATTTGTAGGGTTTACAAATTCTATGATGTAAATACTCACATTATGGCCAATTTTAAACTACCACAATCAACAAAATTCCTGACCATCTAATGATAAGC